CCCGGGACTCCAGGATCATGACCTGAGCCGAAGGCAGTCGCCCAACCAACTGAGCCACCCAGGCGCCCTCTTTTACACTTTTATAAGCAGGATAAATCACGCCCAACCTGGGTTTTCAAAAAAGGATAGAAATGTGATTTTGGTTACTTTAGATGGTTTTTGCAAATTCCAATTTGATATTCTATGGCCTTGCAAGGGTAGAGGACACCCACATTGACCAGTTTCTGCTGAGGCAGGACTTTCTGGTTCTGTTGATTAATAACGTAGAATGCTTCTTCAGGTGGCAGAGGAGAAGCTGATTTATTCATAATTATCTTACTGAATGTAATCTGTGTGAAAGAGAGAAAAATCACTATTTGAAGGAGACCCCAAGATGCTCCCAAATCCGAAGTCAACAACACTAACTGGGGGTTCAGAGAAAGACTCTTTCAAAGGCAGTCTCATTTAACTGGCTGATCACCAGCATCTGAGTCTCCTGGGTGTTTGTTAAAAATGCAGATTATTCCTTGGATCTACACAAGACTTACAAACCACATCTTGGTGGAGTTGGGCAATGAATCTGCATTTTTATTAAACTCCCCAAGTAAGAACCGCTGTAGATCTAATCAATTTCAATATTAAGCAGTTGTCAGAAAATCTCCTGTTTGTGTCTGCTCACGAACTTCTAACTTCTGCTTTGTTTCAAACTTTTTTCTTCTTGTACTATCTTGACCATTCTTGGTGTGAAGGATGTCCTGTTTCTCCTGTTTCACTTTCTTCTCCAGCTAAACCTTCCCAGGTGCTATTCCCTACTGCTGATCACTTCCATGGTTCTACCTTGTTCCCTTTTTCTCCCGCAAGTCATGGGGCCCAGATCCAAAACTATTCTAAAGGTGAATGTGCTGGTAAAATCGTTCTGGTGGGTAATATTTCTTTTAAAAAAAAAAAAAAAAAGGCCAGAATTACATTCGTATATTAATCTAAAGCTATCTAGGCTAGAAAAATAAAGACCCTAAATAAGATTACATTACTAAAATGAGTAAACTTCGTGTAAGTTTACAGACAACTAAATTAGGGCAGTTTTCAATGCACTTCCTTTAGAACATAATACTGTTACAGACCTTCTAAGATAAACCATCTTTTACTGATGTTGACAGAAAAAAAGAACCATTTTTCTCTATAGAATAGCAAGGTTTTAATTATTAGCTACTCTATAATATTTGTATATATGGTTTTTAACCTAGTGCATTTGTTACTCTGATTTTTTTTAAGATTTATTATTTGAGAGAGAGAAAGAAAGAGCAGGGGTGTGTGGCAGGGAAGGTGCAGAGGGAGAGGGATACAGTGTGTCTTAAGCAGACTTCATGCTGAGCATGGAGCCCGACACAGGGCTTAATCTCACGATCCCAAAATCACGACCTGAACTGAAACCAAGAGTCAGAGATTCAACTGACTGCACCACTCAGGCACCCTATTACTCTGATTTAAGGGAAAAAAAGAAAAATGCAGCTGTGAATAAAGGTGAATAACTTCATATCTAGATAAATTTCTTATATTTTATTTCCAACATTTGGGACTATTTAAATTTGAAGTTCATGTTTGCTGAGTATTTGTGATGCACGAAGTATTACTTGAAGGGTATTACTTGGCATATGCTTGTTCAAAAAGCTACATTGGAGTCTGTTCCACCCAGACCACACAGTGTCTGCCTAAGAGCAACTTCAGCAGGCAGGAAAACGTTCCAGTCTGAATAACTTGGGCTGCTGAAATTAGCATGCAACAGCTAGACACATCACTGAAAAAAAAGTCTGGGTTCCTGCCAAATACCAGCACAATTTAATATTTCATGAAGCACATGTAATGTCTTTTCCTTCTCTATATCACATGGACTAAGTTGAAGGAAAGTGTCTGTCTCACTCATACAGGACCCGGTAGAGGGCAAGAGGCATGATATGGATAAAAGAGCCCAGCAGTCAGAAAGCTTAGATTCAAATTCTGAATCTAACTCAAAATCTGTGAGATCTAACAAAGAAATCACCAAAGTCCTTTGCCCCTAAGCCTCCACAAGTAGAATGGGGACCACCAGTCCTCCCAACACAAACAACATGGGGAAGGGATGAGGCAACGGGTACTGAGAGCACTGGCAGAATGGTCTCGAACAGACACCCAATAAATGTCTAATGAATCTCAAAGTAATCTGAGCTCTATCCTAGAGGAGAACCAATAGACTCTGAAGCAAACAAGGCAAGAGGAATAGAAGAGTCCCTTCCCAGGAATGGTAGCTACCATCAAAAATACAAAAAATCCAACACAGACTGAAGCTCAGAGACACTCAAACTGCTTTAACATTAGGCTACATACACAAAGTCTACTCACCCCACCACACACACACACACACACACACACAAAATTACTTCCTTCTAACCTTCAAACTCCACAAAGTCATGACTAAACACAGGTGAAAAGACACTCTAGGCACTCATCTAGGATTCTGAGTACATGCCTCCAGCTCTCACCGGGCACCATTTCAAAGCCCTGCACGTGCAGGTGGGAACTCTTGCACTTAGAACAACAGCCCTATGAGGTGGGCACTCTAGTTATCCCCATTCTATGAAGGAGGGATGGGGCGTGGAGATCACAGGGCTCAGCAGCAGCAGAACTGGGCTTGGGCTCCACAAGAGCTTGAGAGCTACATCTTGGTCACTCTGCATCCCTGATGGAAATTACAGTGCAAGTCCTGAAGTTCCAAACACACACTGGGATTTTAAACTTGAAACAACCCTACCTACCCATGTCAGAACAATGTTACTGTCCAGGTAAAACCTTAAAGTCATCACGTAGGCCTATCAATCTTTCACTTTGTCAAAACACATCCTCTATCACAGACTATGCCCACTGTACAGATACTAAGACTCAAAAAACACTTGCAAAAGACGACAGAAAACCAGAATTTCCTGACACCAAAACCAAAAATTTTCAGCCTCCTTTTATCCAAAGGAAAACTGAAAATAAAATCTGCAACATGTCTTAAACATGTCTTAAATTTAGAATTCTGACAGGGAACTTGGCAGTACGTGTCAGAACTTTAAATATACCCTATGATCTACGAACCCCACTTGCAGGGTCTTTCTTACAGAAATACTAACACAAGTAAACAAAGGTACCTGTAGAAGGAGGTTTACTACAGCAGTGTTTGTTAAGAGCAAAAACAAAAAATAACCCGAATATCCAACCAGTCAGCTATATTATGGCAGAAATACATGATGGAAAACCATGCAGCCAGTGGAAAAAAATGAGGTAGCTCTAGATAGACTGACATCTACCTATTTTGGATACACTAGTAAGCAAAAAAGCAAGTGACAGAATATATGCAGTCTGATCCTACATTTATTTAAAAATAAACTATGTTTGCATGTGTGTGATATATATGCTGTGGAAACCTAGAAAAAGGCCTGGAAGAATACATCAACTCCCCTGAGAAGAAATCTGGGGGGGAGGAAGGGTCATCTCTCATTTTTTACTTTCTAGAAGTCTGAATGTTTGAGGTAAATTTCTTTTGAAATAACAATATAAATTTGTGAAGTAAAAAGGATTTGGAAGGTGAATTTCTAGAAGGAATAGAATAGCTGAGAAATGCCCTGGGAGTGCACAGGAAGGGGAGCACTGCCACAGAACCCTCTTTAGAAGCTCCTCCAGGATGCTCAATGAAGTCATCCAGAGATTCTTACAACAAACAACGCCTTTTTTCAGACAATGCCATAAATGACATATATGTGAAAACAAAGGCTTGTATAATCAAAAAATCCTAGAAAGGAAACATGTAAAGTAAGGACTTACACAGAACAAACGACTGAAGCTGCACGGTTTCGCTACACTTTATTCAAAGTCGGCCCCACTTCCTAATTATTTGCGGGAACTCAAAATCTAGTGTCCAAATGTATATATCCATCATATATTGAAAAATAATCTTTACATTTGTGCTGTGACCCAAAATTGGCACACTTAAATCATACGTGAGCCAGACACAAACGGTTGACCCTCGATACAGAACAAAAGCCTGGAAGTGGCACAGCAAGGTAGCTATGCTCTCCTTTATTAAATTCTCAACCTAAACTGTTACCTTCCGAAGTTACACACACCACAATATACCTTTGCACAGGTAATTTTATTCTCTCCTGTGGGTGTCAACAGTGCTCATAGATTGGAATTTGAAACATTCAGAAAGCACATACCTGAATATCGTCACATTTTGTTACATCATGATTCAGTAACTATTAAACAGTTATGTCTACTAAGTACAATGAACAAATGGTATAAACATTTACCATTACCTTGTAAACAAGGCTTTTGTGCACAACAGTAACAAATGGAATTAATGCATACCACAGTATCAATGAAGACCTTCTCTTTAAATAAACTATTCTGTTTATAAATAAACTCTGATTTTTTTTAGTACACATTTACAGACCTGATCAATAAAAAGAAATAAGACATCTATTTTCCTTTAAGAAGAAAATATTGAGAGATGGACCACTATGGAAGAACTCACTAGGAAAAGTGGTCAGAAGCAAGCAAAGGACAAGAGGGAGTTAAAAGTACTGTCATACTGCAACCTATTTCTGTTAGAATACACCAACACAAGGACAGGATTGTCTGGGAAGGAGCTCATTTTTACTTGAATTCCAGCAAGTTGCAATCAATCTTGTAGTACACATAGGGGTAGTATTCCTGTTGACTCAGGTTTAAGCCTGGAATATCCATAGGAGCCTATAGGAAAATCAGACAATTATCCAAATGAGTACTTACAGAAATCAGAAAAAAAAAAAAAAAATTAAATATTACCATTTACCTTCTTATTCAACATCTACTCTGGGCTAAGTGTATATGTTTATGCTAATTTAATCTGAGTTAAGCATTATTACTCCAATTTTGCCAATGAGGAAACACAGTGGGTAGTAAAGCCAGATTTAAGCACTCACTGACTCCAAAGCCTGTATGTGTTTAACTATGACCCTGTGATCCATTTTTATGCATAATGTATAAAATTACTTTTTAAATCTCAGGCTTGGGGTATTCAGTTTATGGGGCACTTGGCTTATTAAAATGTTGAATAGAAGTAAATCAAGTATGATTTTAATGGTGTCACTTATCATTTACGCATGTTTTAAGAATATACTGGTAGGAGGGGTGCCTGGGTGGCTCCAGTTGGGCATCTGCCTCTGGCTCAGGTCATGATCTTGGGGTCCTGGGATCGAGCCCCGAGTTGGCTCCCTGCTCAGTGGGGAGTCTGCTTCTCCCTCTACCTCTGCCCCTCCCCTCCACTCATGCTCTCTCTCCCTCAAATAAATAAAATCTTTAAAAAAAAAAAGAATATACTGGCAGGAAATTATGTATCAAATAGTTGAACCTCATATTTTATTGACAATTACATGAAAATGTAGAATGTAATTTCCTGCATTTTCTTCTATCAAGAAAATCTGACATTTCATGGGTTCTAACTAATGCAAATGTGAGATACTACCATCCTAAAAAGAAAAAAAAAACCAACAAGATATTTGAAATAAAAAAATATGAAATAAAACCCACTACAATTTTAAACAGCAGTAGTGTGCTTAAATACCCTCTCTTTGAAAGAAGATAGAAACACACCAGTTTAGAAAAATGGTAGTTCCTTTTAAATTGCTCCTCTACTGACATCGCTACTTGTACCGAATACAACTGAATTAACTACTTCGTTTCGTCTTCTCTGCAATTCATTAACTTTGGTAAGTAAGTACTACAGAATGACCGGTTGTTTCTGTATTTCTGCAGCTATAAACATCTGATCTATAGCAAGAGAATGACTAGCTCAGAAGCAAAAGCACTGATCTAACTAGTATAAAACAGAGTGAACAATGTAAACTACTTGCTATGTTTATCTAACAAATTAACTGAGACCCTCAAAGTAATAAAGACATAGATTAAATAATACAATATTTACTATCCCTTTTCCATTTATCTCCTTCCAATGATTTTTTCTGAAATTCATTCCAGTTGCTACTCTTCCAAGGTGCCTAGTAAGTACTTACATCAATAATAGCTGCTGCACTGCTGTCTAGATGTTTATACAATTCATATAATACTTCTCTTAGTTTCTTCATTGTTTTCTTATTGGGCTGAAGTAGCATTGCTTGGAAGTTCACTGGCAAGCCATACCTTAGCAGGAAGCAAATGTACAGTACGTAACACAAGTAAACATAAAAAGAGATTTTCTTTTCAAAGCAAATATTCTCATAGTCTTCTTTAATCAGTTAACAGAGAGAGGGTATCTCATTTTAATGACCACCTCTACAAGTTCAACTAATATACAAAGAAACTCAAATCTTCTCTGGTCCTCACTGTCCACTAGAAAACTTCCTTAAAATGAGAACCCACTGTCTACTAGGAATTACTTTTAATTACTCTTTAATTTTTAATCTATGAATACCCTCAGCAATAATATGTATACTTAGAGGAGACACCTTCATGATAAGGAGCAACATAATTACATCTTGAAAAGTCAATGAAATTTACAAATAGCGAGCATGGCTACAAATAAGTATTTTGAACTACATCTAATATGAGCAAACTGTATAGAAGATCACAAGATGATTGAGATTTTAAGTATCTCAAAATAATAAAATATTTAAGGTTAATATGAAACAGTGATTTCAAATACATCATCAGTATACTGTGTACCAAACTACATGTAAAGTATGTGAAAGATCTTCTTTTAAACAAACATTAGCTAAATATTTTATAATCTACTTTTAACCTAACTACACCAGCAAAGAACCAGGGAATACAGCAGTATGGATCGCTTTTTCCAAACCTGGCATCAAGGACAAGACTAATATGAATGTATGATACCGACAATCTCTCTCTCATGGTTGTCCCTTTGGTTTCTCCGCATCAACTTCCTATTACTGGACCATATGTTATAACAAAGAGGTCTAATGTAAAGGGATCTATAAACCCTTCAGTTCCAAGTTTCTCGACAACTTTCTTTACCTTAAAACAGACTCAACAAAAACCCTCAACGCTTTCACATGAATCCACGCAATAAACGCCTCACTGAAATTTACTTTCAGCCACCGTACAAGTGGTCCCTATAAAAAGGAAAAAAAAAAAATCACTACAAATTTGGTCTTGAAAATAGCGATTAGAAATAAATAAACCAAATATTTTTAAAGGAGTGACCATCCAGTAAGAATCTACAGGAGAATTAAATCACATTATATTCACTTTAAAAATGTTTCATTTTTCTCATTATCTTGGACACTTCATCTTAAATAAGATTAAAAGGTCAGCCACTACACTGAAACCTCAGTAGACACCAAAACTGATGGATCCTACTCGCTATACAGAAAAAGGCATGTATTTTCATGAAAGCAGTTTAAACTGATACATAATATATATGTGCCCTAGGTTTGAAAACCGAAATATAAAAACCTGAACTTATTATGCAATACATTTCAAACATTTAAAATAGAATTCAACTTACAAACAACATCTCAGGAACAGGACAGTTATGTAGTAAGTCATTTAATACATATATCCCTAGGTCTAAATTTTTTCATCTGTAAAATCAGGGGTGTTGATCTAGATCCCTTAAACCTCTTCACATTCTAAATTCTTAATGATTCTATTACATAGGATAACTTCTCTTTGAACTTAAAATATTCAATATGATTTCCAGTACTAAATAAAAATACACCTTTAAACAGATTTTAAATAATACTGCCTTTCAGTATGTAGAAGACATATGTGATCAGTTCAGCTAAATTATTTACAGAACATCATTAGGTTCATTTGATGTACTAACCAATTAATTTAAGCAAAAAGGACATGACAAAGTGGAAATCTTTGGTTAAAGTATCTATTCTTTAAAAACGCTCTGGACCTTTGTAACAAGTTGGTTTTACTGGGCATATGGTTAGGATTAGTTTTCTCCCAACTTAGAGGATATGGTTTATAAAGTACTTAGGAAAAATTTTAAATGGGATTTGCTTTTATTTTCTCTTTCATTACAAGAGAAATAAATTTTCACTCACCACCCCTTCCATACTAGCTTCTAGTCTTCACAGTAATCCGGCACTTAAAGATGACAAGGAAGTTGACACCATCTTCCCTTGTCACAATTCCATCCCCTTTCTCCATTTTGCCTAAAACATACTAACTCTCCAGGGGTTTTAAATAGAAATTGCTTCAGTATAATACTGCAGCATTAAAAAAATCTGCCTCATGAAAATGAAAAATTCTTCCTGAAAAAACTATTACTTAATTAAAATAATACCTCACTATACTGCATTTAAAATTAATTCCTGATACGGATTTAGATGGAGTAAATAACTTTAAGGTATGGACTTCAAGATCTATGTTTGCTTAAATTCATTTTGATTAATAGAAAAAGTAACTAAAATCAAATGTCTTAAAAATAAAATCAGTTTTCTTTTAAAAAATTTTTAAATAAAAAAATAAAATAAAAAGCAGTACTGCTTTTTCTTCTGCTTAATGCTGATAATACTAAATATTAAGAACACATACAAACTGCTTTTTCTTGTCAGTAGAAAGCCTGTTCATTTCTTCTTTATCTGCTTTCATCTCCTCTTCATTATACTGGAAGTCACGAACGATGAATCTAAATTTGGGGTGGGGGGAAAAACAAAATTGTCCACACTGTGTATATAGGTGATCTAACAAATTAAAAAACAAAAAATAATTATCTTACTTGTTTTCCCTGGCTTTGTGCCTGAAGTCATCAACTGCCTTCCTAAACAAGGTGACATTACAAAGGTAACTGTCTTGGTCCTCTGAGAGAACACTATGGGGGGAGAAAAACACACACAAAAAAGTCCATTTAAAGCTTTATATGGATTGCTCTCTTTCACACTGAGGGCAGAATTCACAAACAGAAGGAGGACAAACAATAGGGTATGGCAGCCCTTCCCAAACCACCTCAAGGCTAAGCACGTGTATTGCCTCCAACACTGAGGACACTCAGTGTTTACGATGTGTTTATTTACAGTGCCTTAACAGCCCTATGCCATTTACCTCTTCCTAACCCAACAAAATCCAACATTTACTCAAGTAAAATGTCCAAGCTCTAAGAACCATGCTTTTCCATCTATCACTGCCAGGCTGGCTGAGACAAAACCAGTAGCTAGTTTATTCCAGAGTCTCCCTGCTTCCCTGCTAATAATAAGCACCTTCTTCTCTTCTGGAAACCAAATTCTCTCTACCTCTCTCCAGTCCAGCCCAGCCCACTGAGGCCTGGCTCACCATCTATGTACTGCCAATAGCTCCTACCTCAGATCTTTCCTTCCCCACTGCCCCCAACACCCTAACTCAAAAACAGACAAATGCAGTGGTCTAAATATCCTTTGACAAAACACACTTTTATGCATCTCAGGGCTTCCTCCTAGGCTCTAGAAGATCCCAGCGAGGTCAGAACTTCTATCCAGTCGTGGGTCTCATGGACATCACTGGAAAAACCTTTCCAGACACAACTATGTAGGGAAATTTTAACTCTCGTATAAATTTCTAATGCCCTGGGGAAAAGCTGTTTGGAAAGGCAAACTGTACAGTTCATGTATACTATGACTCTCATTTGACTTTCAAAAGTTACCTACAGCTATTTATGCAGAGAATCCCAGACGCGGGGTCTACGAAGCTATACAGTGAATTGTTCAACAGTGATGATGCTGGGGCAGGAGCATCACTTAATGGTGTGTGGAAGGGTCTCTTTTCCTTTCTATTTTCCAAGTATTAGGTTTTTTTGTTTGTTTAGTTTTTATTTACAATGTGGTACTTCTGAAATCCAAAAAAAATAATGTTTTACAAACCTGAGGGAGTGCTTGTGGAATTCAAAGATACTTTACTAAATATGGGGGGAGGAAAAAAAAAAAAAGCAAGTTTAGTTTTTCCAAGAAGTCTAAGAATTGCTTGATTAGGTTAATTCAGATAAATTCAGGAGGCAACAACAATACTTAATGGCAGAATGGCTATAAGAACTGACGCTAGCCTGGCTCTTGGTCTACCTCTCCAGCAGTAGGACCAGCAGACGTCTCTGGGAGGACTGACCACTGTCATCACCAACACAGAGAGAAACTCAGCTACTCTGGATTTGGAACATTTAAACTTCTTTTCAAAGGTGTCCTCTCGGGGCGCCTGCGTGGCTCAGTCAGTTAAGCATCCAACTCTTGATTTCGGCTCAAGTCACGATCTCAGGGTTGCTGAGATCGAGCTCCCTATCGGGCTCTGCACTGGGAGTAGAGCCTGCTTAAGATTCTCTCTCTCCCTCTGCCCTCTCCCCCTCCCTCTTAAATTAAAAAAAAAAAAAAAAAGGTGCCCTCTCTGGCTGGCTCAGTCAATAGAGCTAGAGCATGTATCTCGATCTTGTGAGTTCGAGCCGCACACTGGGTCTACAGATTACTTAAAAATAAAATCTTTTAAAAACTTAAGAATTAGGGCGCCTGGGTAGCTCAGTTGGTTAAGCGTCTGGCTTCGGCTCAGGTCATGATCCCCGGGTCCTGGAATCGAGTCCTGCATCGGGCTCCCTGCTCAGTGGGGAGTCTGCTTCTCCCTCTTCCTCTGCCTGCCACTCCCCCTGCTTGTGCTCTCTCTCTCGCTCACTCTCTCTCTCTCAAATAAAATCTTAAAAAAAAAAAACCCTTAAAAATTAAAAAAATAAATAAATAAGAGATACTCTCACAAAACTATTACCCTTAGTTCTTGCTCTCGGTGCCTATCAAATCCAAGGCACAGCAAGTACCAAGTGGACAGAACTCAATAAAAAACCTTTTATGATCGTCAGGTCTATCAGGCTTATCTCTGTAAAATGCACACTGCAATCTAACGAATCCAAATCCAACCTGAGAGGCTAGTGCAGACCCCTAACAATATTCCTCCATTGTCATAGTTATCTTTTAAACTCACACAGTACTTTGCCATTTTAAAGACCATTTCAAAAGCATTTGATGTTTGACACGGCTCTGTGACAATGAGCAGGGTGTCTATTACGCAGGCTCCTCTATCATGTAAAGACGTGGGTCACAGCAAAGTTGTTTAACTTTATTCAAAATCCTATGGTGAAGGAAGCCAAGATAAAAATTTAGTCTTATTTTATGACTAAATCCTGCTGTGCTATCTTATTAAGAAAAAATAAATAGAAACCACCTGCTTTTCCTTCCTACCCCAGGAAAGGTATTTCTTAAAACATTATAAAAAAGAAACCATGAGTCCTTGGCATAATGGACTTTCAATCATTTAACATGTACTGAGCCTCTATAAACGTGCCCAGCTCTTGCTACATATTCGGAATAAAACTAAGACATCGTGGTTCGCTGACCTCAAAGCATGGGTCTAATCAAGGAAACAGACAGAAACAAGTAATACAATACAAAATTGCAAATGTTATAATAGAAGATATATGTGACATATTGGGGCAAAAAGGGAACGGACAACTTTATCTCAGGGGACATTAAAGAGTTTCACAAAAGCAGTGATGCCAAGTGCAAGTCCGAAAGACAGGCAAAGGAGAGAACATGCCAGGCGAGCCCCACACAAATGCACACAGGTGTGGAATAGCATGGCGCATCTGGGGCTCTGCCAGATACAAGCATAGCTGGAACAGAGCACACGGGGTGGGTGTGTGTGCACGCTCCTGTGCCAGTAATAGATCGGTACACCACAAAAATGAAAGTGGCATCAACGCAGGAGACTGATGAGAGGAAAAAAAGAGTGGCGATAAAGGAGACCAGCTCATGGCAATTCCAACAGTCCAGGCAAGAGACGGGAATCTAAACTGAAGCAGTGGCTATAGCTACGGGGGGGGGGGGGGGGTTCAAGTCAGCTGAACCATATGAAGTTGTTGGTATCTGACCATTTTTGACCTACAAAATAGCAATTTCGTAGGAGTCAACCAAATGCTACTGAAGGTAGAAATAACACAGCTGTTAGACTGGGTGGTGGAAGGGCAGGCAGTGAGGGGGAGGTAAGAGTCCAAAACGACTACCATGGTCTGGTTTGGTAACTAGGCACACGTTGGGCCACACACTACAAGGGAGATGGACGACTCAGGCTGAGGTTGGAGGGGATAATGTCCTATTGGTAGTTACCTGTGGCGCAGACATGTGCAGTGCCCAAGAGGAACCCAGGTGTGGGAGTCTGAAACTATGGGGATAGCCAGGCCACAGACGGAGATTTCGGAGTCCCAAAGCTGCAGGCAGAAGTCAGAGCCCTGGGTGTGGCTGAAAAGGCGCTCAGAGAAGAATGGCTGTCCCACTAAGACAGAAGAGCCCATGTCTAGACTCGCCAATACTCAGGGCTAAGAGATTCTCTCCAGCTCTCAGGCACAGAAGCCAGCAGGCTGCATTGCAGATTAATTCGGAGACAGAGTTTGCAGGAGGTCACGGGGCCAGAGATGAGGGTGCAGGCAAGACAACAGCTGAAGAATGACTCGAGAGTCCAGGCTCAGCAGAAGAGGAAGCATGACTGGAGGAAATCAACAGTGTCAGAGCAAAGGGGTGGGGACTAGAGATGTGGACAAGGTCAAAGAGCAGGTTCTGGGACAGTGGAAAAGATGGAAAGAAGGCTCCGCTTCAAGAACTGGATTACAGATTTAAGAGCCCAGAAGTAAAGCCTTTTTAGAGGTCAAGAGTGAGGCAAGGCAAAAGCCTACAAAACTCAAGTGGAGAGGCACGTGCATGGCTCAGTCAGTGAAGCATCTGCCTTCAGCTCAGGTCACGATCCTAGGGTCCTGGGATTGAGTCCCACACATCAGGCTCCTTGCTCAGTGGGGAGCCTACTTCTCCCTCTGCCTGCCGCTCCCCCTGCTTGTGCGCTCGCTCGCTCTCTCTGACAAATAAATAACATCTTTCTAAAAATAATAAATAAATAAACAACAACCAAAAAAACTCAAGTGGAGGTGATGGTTTGTGAGCTGCAGGGATCGGGGAAATGAGAAGCCAGAAGCTGGAGGGATTTCTAACCAAGCCAAAACCAGCAGTGACCTTAAGTGACACAGGAGACCAAGGCAGAGAAACAAAATGAAAGCCAGAAGGAGAGGAAAGAGTTAAGAAAGTGCCATCTTCTCGTGATGAAACATGGACTTGGACTGTGCCTGAAAGGGAGCTTAGTTTAGCTTAAGCCAGGTTGCACAAGTTCTACCACGTTCAAATAAATGACCCAAACGCACACCTTCCTTTAGTTCTACCGTTACGTAGAAGTAGCAGCACGACCTTCACACAGGTGTAAGCGGGCCTGAAGGAGACGCCAACGTTTTCCAGACACTGCACGGCATTTGCAGTCACCTGTGTGAGCAGCCTTGCTTCTAGAGCTCACTAGTGCTGTCTGCTGCTTCGGATTTCTTAGCTCGGTCCTAAAACTCAGACCTGCCATCTTCTCTGTTCCCTAACTAATCTTCCTATGTCACTGCCAAGACATCTCTCCTGCTTTTCTTCATAAAAGTTATCTTTGCAACCCCTGCTCCAAAACACAGGGGAAACTTTTCTCTGCACAAGGGCTAGTACAGTTTTTCCTAGGCTTTCGTAGCTGGGTCCTTCTAGCTCCCCAACCAAAAACCTCTGGGAAGCACCCATGCGTTTGTGGTACTGTTTCCAAAACTAGAGAAAAGGCAAAAGTCAACTAGTGATCGGACCTGGTCAGACCACCTTCACAAGGAAAAGTAGACAAAAAGGAAAGTGGTAATCCTGAGTACAAGTGAAAAACACCGTTCTCTGAACAGTTTTCCCAACGAGCGGCAGCCAGCAGCCCAGCCTCCACTTCTCTGGCCGTAACTGTGCAGCGTTGACGCACAGCCCTGCACTTATCCACACAACAATGGTGGGAGTTCAAACTGTCCAGTGATTTTAAGACTCAAGTAGAATATTTTACAAATAGCTGGGTTCTAAGCATTTTTTAAATGAAATTATTTCCTTCAGATTTGAAGACCGTATTTTTCAATCCGTTCTTCTACCTCACAATTCTACTTTCATCTTCACTGCTCCCAAGAGTAAGGACTCAAGTGCCAAAAAGCAACAAGTCAAAGTATTACTACTTACAAATGACTTAAAAATGAAGCACTTAGAACAATCACGAGCACACAGCAGCTACTCAAAAATGTTATTATGATAAGCTAAAAATCCAGCATCAAGTCAGAGAGATCTTTCCTGAACATTGGACAAAATGCCAAACGAACCCAGCGCAGCCTGTCTGCCCCACATGATGAGCCGTCCTGTCACGGCACTGGCTGAGCTGCTGCTGTTCTCGTGGACTAAATTTAAACAGCGAAGCTTTCATGTCAGCGGTTCCAAAGGCCTTCAGAACAGAGACACAGGCAGAAAAGAGGTTTGCACTGACTGGTGCTCAGGGAGCACTTATTCGTCATCCAGAAGACAGGCGTTGTCTACACTGAACTCTTACCGCTTGGCATTTTCTCCTTCAAGCTACTAGAGTAATGTTCAAGAGATGTAAATCTCTGAAGTAATATTTTTAATGTCCTTCTTTCAGAGTAAACCCGAACACAGGTACACACCACTCCCCGGGACCTTGGGTCTGGCATATGTACAACCTGTGAGGACATTCTGTATACACTGGGTCCTTGGTCTCCTCCTTCCCCTCCTCTCAGACATAAAGTCAACCTCTATGGCTTTAATGTCCTACAGAGTATAAAGGTATAAGAAGTTGTTATTCGTCAGGATAAACAGCTTCAGTGGGAAACTAATATGAAAACTAAGGCTGTCCCTTAGTCTTTAGTCTACCATGTGAAGGGCTGGTGAGAATGGAAGGTATTCCCCAAAATGGGAAAAAAAAAAAATTCGTATGAGCAGAGGTTTGTGGTTTAGTTCTCAAAAAAATCAACATTTGTGAAACTATGATAATCATATTACCTTATATTTTGTATATCTTATCAAGCCTTAAAATAGCCACATAATGTGTACTGGGAAGGGGCTATGCTCATTTTTCAGACAACGAAAAATGAGGCCCAGAGAAGGTAAAAGACTTATCCCAGGTCACACAGCAAGTTGGTAGCAGAACCAGCAACAGAACTCAAATCCCTGGGCCCAGCACTCTTTCCATTATACTAAGCTACCTCCCATATGACACAATGAAACTGGAAAAGAAAATACTGCATGGGCCTACCCTTACTAATACCACTTCTTTACTCTCTGCTCTCTCAGCGCATGTTGCCACCTCTTGAGGCACAGCCATACGAAAGAATCCTCGGGGGATGCATATACACCGTACTTAATATTTTCTCAAAGAACATCTCGTGCGGAATGACAGAATACAGGAAAAAATGACATGGCAGTGTCAACAGTATAAGACCTAACATTAAAAAACCTGACTTTTAGTCCTAACTTTCTCCCTGGACACTAATACAGCCAATGCAGCCAAATGCCTTAGGCAACTATTTAATTCTTCTGTATTTTTACTTCTTTCTCCACAAGAATAACTGCTCCAACTACTTCACAGAATCGTTGTAAATATCAAATTAGATAATGTATTATCAATCTGTATATTTAAAAACACTTAATACAAGTTTTTTTTAATGGAAGATATAGATTAGGTAGAATCTATGCTCACTGAAAATTGAGATCAACATGGTACTCTAGCAGCCATTTTGGTATACTTCCTTTGCAAGAGAAATGAAGAATTATAGACATATAGTAGGTATACAATAAATACTGAATGAAGAATTTTCAGAAGGTGGCAAAGCATGGCAGAAAAAGTACCACACCAGTGACCTGGGTTCTAATTCTAGCCCTGCCATCAATGAGATGTGTGACTCTGGGCAAACCACTTCACCCCTGTGGCCTCAAACTTCTCCACCTATAAACATGAGACAGTCGATCAGACTGTACAAAGTCCCTTCCAGGTCTTTAACTGCGATAACTAGACTTACTTATTTATAAGGTGAAAAAGATGGTCCTGAAACCGTAAATTTACCACAAAGAAAAGATAAAGCTATTTCCTAACCCAACATCCCAACTCTAAAAAGGAATTCTAGGAAAGAAAGAAACGGGTTTTACAAAGACTACTACTTACTTGCTAGACCTTGGAACTACCATTTCAGCTAGTGTTTCGTACTGCTTAATCCAGTCGTTGTGGTTTAACCTGCAGAAAAGGTACAGTAAGTAGTGGAAAAGAAAAAAGAAGTCTTACCTCCTGCCATAACCAGAAAGAGAAAAAAACATGGGACAAACAGGAAATTCAACTAATGTATACCTCAAATCTATGTAACCAAAAAAAAAATTCAAGTTTCCTCCTGAGAAACAGTAAGTGTGAAGCAGGAAATACAGTTCACCACTCTTATATCCAGTAACTATTGCAAAAGAGGCACATCCTAGAACTAAGTTTCGAAAGGAAGTAAAGCAAAGTACAGATTCTAAATGACTTTCACACTTCAGAGGTAAATGCATTACCTTATTAAAAATAAATTAATTAACTTAAAGGCCATACTGAAATCTCTATCATGTCTATTCACTGGCCGTTACAAAAGGCTGGATCAAACCGTATTTACTAAAAGCACAGTGTACCAGGAAGCATTGAGTAAATTAAGTGACAGCAAACCATGCTGCACAGAACGTTGTGCAACAACGCTCTGTAGAGGCCAACGGATTTGGGCGTGTGCAGAAAGACAGTTATGTTTGCAATTTAATGAACTGCAGTATTTGTAGGCCACATAGTGAATAATTCAACACGTAAGGTACCCTAGGTCCTATGTTTCAATTACTATGTACAAAAAACTATAAAAATTTCTGATCTTAAACACAAATTTTCAATAAAGATTGTGGCAAATCTTTTATCTGGGCAAAGGTTATTTTCCTACAGAGTATAAAGACACAGATACAAAGAAGTTTATTATAAATAATCAGTGCTCTGGTATTCTGCAGTAAGGGGAGAAAAGCAGAAGCCAGATAATATTGTAGCCACAGTAAATTCAATGCAGGTGCTTTCCTACCATTTTCCAATATTCCCAGTTCCCTAACCAGATAGAAATGGAGAACACAGCAAAGGAAGAATTCGTGCAAGAATTCTGTGAAGAATCCCCAAATCTCCCACCTCAGTTTGGATCCTCCAAAGATTCCCTGATAGCGAGACTTCACTCCAAGTCAGAAGTGAAACCATTAACAGTGTTTCTCTCTCATACACACGCATGCATGTGCACAGAGTTCTAATCCTTCCTATGAGTGTCCAAAGATTTCATTTTACCAAGACAAACTATGATCACAGAAGAGCTGATCTCAAGAAGATTTCAAAGGATTCTCTAATCCAGGAAAACTATGCCCAGAGCCTATGCCTGTTTTCATAAATAAAGTTTTACTGAAACACAGCCACATCCATTTTGTATGTACTATGTACAGCTGCTTTCAGCTACAACCACAAAGTTGACATGGCAGAGATGAGTAGTTGTAAGAGACCCTTGGGCTTGCAAAATGTAAAATATTGACTATAGGCCCTTGAAAGAAAAAATTTGCTAACCCCTGACCTAATCCATCCTTTGCTTCTTAAAGGGTTTAATTCATCCTAACCAATCAAAGATTTTTCAGAAAAACAAATACAAAGAGCTTCCTACTTTGAAAAATCTAAAATCTGTATTTTTTTAAAAATCTAAAAATTTAGCATTATTTAATTTTTAAATAAGCCCACTCTACTAAGCTGCTAAATTTGATTTGGAATTGCAATTTATAACTGATGTCTCCATTACCAGATTATGAACTCAATTCTACTATGTGTGCCATATGAATACATGTTGGTTCACAGAATGAAGGACAATGTAACAGTCCCTTTACAATTGGGTTCTATGGAACACTTCAAATTACAATATCAGATACTAACATTTTTCTTATATTTTAACAAGTAAAAAACTTTTGTAATTACAAGACATACTTGGGAACTACGACCAGTAATGTGACGAGATACTCTGAATCAAGAACAAAGTCATCCTTCTTCACAATTTCTGCTAAACTTCTAGTTAGCAAACTTCCTCTGAGGAGTAAGAAAAAAATAATCAGGCTGATAATGCCTCCATAACACAAGTAAAGAAATAGCAGGCTAATTATATTCACATATATGTACTATATATACATCTCGAGAAAAGGATTAATTTTATTACGTTTTTAACGTAATAAACGTTATTAACGTTTTTACTTTGCAAGAAGTCAAAATTTAGCTATTTCCCGCCCTCACTATTAAAGAAATGTCAACATTTATCAAAATTTGCCTCTAGTATCTTCCTTTGTGTTTGCTTTAATTATTATAACTCAGCTCTTCTCTTGATTACATACGTAATACCCTGACTGGGCAAGTGTTATTCATTATATGTCAATTAAAGTCTATTTCATCATAATTACAAAATGATATCATCTAAGGACAACCTTTGATTTTCTTCCCTCTCCCTGGGTATCATCTGATACTAAGCAATTTTGGTTAGTTAACCCAATAATCAACTCTTTCAAATCAGTCTTCATTTGGTCTCCCAGTACATTTCATAATGAAAATGACTTGCCCTGTTTGTACCACTGATGGTATCCAACCAATTTTCCCTCTGGAATATGAACGCATAACTTGAATAGTTAAATGCTTAAAGCTACACTTGCAGTAGTCATAGTACGATGAGATCAAGAAAACAAATGTGTTCTATCTTTTAAAAACCTAACGTAAAAAAGCTAAACTTGGAAAACAGAAAAGCAGATAAATTACATTGTAAAAGGATTCTTCGATAGAATTCTTTTAAGCAAGTAATTGCTATGCAATTAAACTATGATTTGATTTAAAACAATCTTAGACAATTTTTCAGTAAAAACTTAAATGCATAAAGGGATAAACAAACAAGTACAATAAATCAGTCTCGCATCTGTTTTGACTAGGCTGAATTAATAAACTTTTCTCCATGAAGTAAACAAACACCGTTTTGATTACAAAAACAGCATAAACTGGAATTCACTAAACCCCAACAATAGCTCGTTCAGTGCATGCTAGAGTGCTTCCCCAATTCTTAATATTCACATATACTTGATACGCTTACGCATTCTTCCGTTCCAAATTCTGAAGATTTCCCTTCAAGTTATTATATGCGGATGCTCTAGATTTCAGGTCATTGTCAATTTGAGTCACTCCCTTTAAAAATGAAAAAGAAAAATAGGCAAAATTTTCCTAAATCTGCCTCTACTAACACAAAGTAGCTGTACCTGAACATTTACTTTAAAAAACACCATCACTGGTTGCTGATGTAAGAACCATTATTTTAAAAGCACAACTTTAAAAAAGGTCATTTAAAAAAATAACCTACTTCATTTTTAATAACTCTGGTAATTTCCATATGAATCTTTTCTACTAAAGATAATGTTTTAGTCCACATATATTTTAATTACTGTTTTGATACTATTTCTTAAACCACATAAATGCAATCTAGGCTACTGGGTACAGAGATTATTGATTAAAAGTCTTTAACTTCAGAAGGCTGAATGATTAATTTCCAAAAGTAATAAACTACACGGTTTTGTTGTTCACAACACCACTATTCTTACACAAAATATTTTTGCAATTAAATTACAATTGTGGATGAATATTATTTATAAATGTTACAAAAGCTGATTTAAAAAAAAACAAAACTACTAACAATTTAGGAAGAAAGTACAAATCAGCAGATTTAACATTTGAAGAACTAGTTCCAACTCAGCTCTACCATTATTACCATTCCTCTATGAGCCTGTTTCCTCATCTATACTAGTATCAGAAGATGATGATTAGATCCTTGATAAGGATCAAAAGAAAGTAAGGCTCAGTCATAGTAAGAGCATCATTTTATATAATCAAACTACTCACTTTCATTAAATTATAATGATGACTTCAGTTTTAAAACCCTTAATAATCTACTTATTTATATAGAGCACATTGTCAAATAAAGTCATTGGGAGCCAGGAAAAAGCCTGTCCAAATCATTTAAACCATAATTTTCATCCTAGCCAGATCATAACAATGTTGACAATTAAAAGGGCCTTGTCTATTTGCCCTGTTTATAGCTTCAGGTAAGACTTCTACATTTTCTCTCAAGTTCAAGGACTACAATATAAAAGGTGAGTTCATGGATGAGCTTCACAGGATCTGTGTACTCCCTGAAACTGTACATAAAATCATGTGTACGTGAATACAGGCATTTTTTTGGGTAGAGGATCGATACTGAATGTCAGAAGGTGTCAGAGAACCCATAAAGCTTAATGTCTGAATCAGTACTATACATAACCATGCTAAAGTAATCATTTTGGGGGCGCCTGGGTGGATCAGTCACTAAGCGTCTGCCTTTGGCTCAGGTCATGATCCCAGGGTCCTGGGATTGAGCCCCGCATCGGGCTCCCTGCTCTGCGGGAAGCCTGCTTCTCCCTCTCCCACTCCCCCTGCTTGTGTTCCCTCTTTCGCTGTGTCTCTCTCTGTCAAATAAATAAATAAAATCTTAAAAAAAATAATCATTTTCATCTACCTGAATGACTACTGAATCTTTAATAGATTCCAGTTTCCTGTTCTACATAATCTGTTACCCTTAAATTTGTATAAATCATAAATACAGAATTTTAAAGTTTACTTTCTTACTTAAACACCATTGATAAAATATCTAAGTTAACCACTTAAGTAAGTAAACAGCACAACTTGGATAATGTACACAGCAAAGTGTTATATTTTAACATCTTTCTTTTTTGGTAAAGTTGTACTAAGGGTACCTCCTGTTTGTATCAGTCACATATCATTTAGTTGCTTTGTCAAAACCTAAAGGGTATTTCCCAGCTAAATACTTATAAAATAAATAAAGCCACTATAAATCACTGTGTCCTACCTGTGTCATTTTTTATCTTACCTTGGCGATTATTTCAGAAATATTTTTCAGGGACTGCTTGATTGGATACTTAGCCATGTCCCACTGAAACCTTGTTATATAAGTAACCAAGTCAACTGAAATAAGGAAATAAATTAATTACTGAGAAGCAACAGAATATTTATAGTTTCCTACATAGTAATAACTTTTAATGGAATCAGTAAAGATGTCATCATTGCTGGAGAGTCCTGATTTTAAAAATGTGGAACTATATTAAATAACATGGATTAATCAACACTTTTTACCTTGTAATCTGACTGGCTCTCTTCTCCTTACTCAAAATTTTATATTTTTATATATACACATTTTTATGTGTGTATGTGTGTATATATAGCTATATATTAAAATGCTCCTAATTTGATGACTTAAAAAATGGAATATGTGCATACCCGTGATATGCCTCAAATGTCAGAGAAAGAGACACAAAGATTAAGAAACTTCAAACTGTCTCCTCAATAAGTAGAATCTGACAAAAGTATGTTCTTTCTTCGCCAACTTAAACCAAAAATAAATCTATTAAAACCAGGTGATAATTGTTTCTAGGAGTCTATACTTCAACAATCTTCAAAACACAGACCCTTTCACATTCAAATGAAAAGAATAAAAAATGTAGAGTCAAAGAGACACTCAACTACTATTCCCTGTTTTCGTAGCTAAATCACTCACCTTATGTAAGTCAGTATCAAATCCTCAAGTATTAGCTTACCTCCATTGGCCAACAGATTCTCCTGAACTTTATCTTTACTATCCTCCAATACATCAGCCATGTATTGAGCCACTTTCTTAACCACCCTTGGGAGGCACAAAAAAAAAAAAAAAAATCAACAATCATTTTCAGGAAAAAGACCTATATTCCATGCTATACAATGAACACACTACATAAGCACATGAATCTGACCATATCTGTTCCCATTACATCTATCTGTATAATACAGAACATGGGTCATAACTTCTACAAATAAGGTTTTAAGGATAAAAGGGACCAAGATTTTGTTATATGTGAAGCTCAACTGAGTAACTGTAGAGATTTAAAGAGACTACATGCAATATGTTTATTAAGTCTGGAAAGAAAGTAATGGGAAACTAATGAGAAACATACATTGTATGACAAAAATGGATCAATGAATCTGATTGCAAGGACCAACAACAAAGGATGGAGGCTGGGAGGAGCTAGCATTCACCACTTACATGCTTTCACTTAGGACAAAAGAGATCTGACAGGCAACAGAATACAAGCAACACTAATGATGAAGAATGAGGTCCTGTATTATTTATTCATTAACTATGTATTAAGCATCTACTACATGCAAAGAACAGTGCTAAAGAGAAACCATAGTGCCATAACTAGTGAGGCACCTAGATATCACTTTGTCAATCCCTTCATTTTATATAAGTAAAGACGTTAAGGTATAAAGAGAATAAGTGACTTAATCACAAAAAGTCACAAAGTCACAAAACCAGCTAATGGCAGAGCTGGGACTAGAAACATAGTGTCTGTGGACTTTGGTGTTCTTTCTCCAGTTCCATGTCTGCCTCTGGGCCCTGGGTGGGATACAAAAGTATACAAGACAAAAACAAACAACACTAGTTTCACATCGAAATGGAGAGACACCAAAAGACACAAATGACTAAATACAAAGTAATCTATGGTTAAGTGCCAGCTGAGAATACCAGGTTACAGAGAGAGAAGCACAAAGGAAAAAGGGATCACTTCCAGCTACTATATATCAAAAAAGCATAATGACTCATGAGCAGGGCAATGAAGGACAGGAATGGTTTTGAAAGGATGATTAGATGGGAAGAAAGTACATTCTTGCTGCAGGGCATCCTTTGAGTCAAGATCAGGAGGGGCAGAAAAGCAAGGGCATTCAGAGGATGACAAGGGATCCACACTGCCCAGAGGGCTGTGCTGAGAAGGGGAGGTTAGGCTAGGAAGGTAGCCTAGAGCCAGACTGCAGATAGATAGATAGCCTCTGATGTCAGACTTTAGAGAGAAGTGTAACATGGTCAAAACAAGGCTTTGGACAATCTGAGGACCATATGCTCAATGGCAGAGAGGATAAACGGGTAGACAAATTAAGAAACTCCTGCAAGGGGCACCTCGGTGCCTCAGTCAGTTGAGCATCCAACTCTTGGTTTCGGTTGAGGTCATGATCTCATGGGTCCTGGGGATGAGCCCCGTGTCTGGCTCCATGCTCAGTGGGGAGTCGGCCTGAGATTCCCTCCCTCTGCCCCTCCCCTAACTTGCATGCATGCGCCCCCTCTCTCTCTCAGATAAATAAATATATAGGAGAAAAAGAAAAAGAAATTCCTGCAACATGAACCAATAAGGGCCAGAAAAAACCCTATGCTAAATGACTTCAAACCTAATAAAGTAGAACAACTGTAGAAAAAATGATGTAAACTGCTAAGTCTTCAACACATTTAGCTTGGGGATTTGTACACACACTTGGTATGTCTCCAAAATTCACTTATCCCTTCAAAGGAGACAAGGCATTATTCCCGTGTAATTTCACAAGCATCTTATAAACAGAACCATTTGCTATGAACACGCAAAAACGGCCATGTTTACCACAGAAATAGTTCAGAGTGTAGAACTGCCTGGTGTCAAAAAAAAATTTTTTTTTTAAAGATTTTATTTATTTATTTGAGACAGAGAGAAAGAGAGAGAGAGAGAGCACATGAGAGGGGGGAGGGTCAGAGGGAGAAGCAGGCTCCTTGCTGAGCAGGGAGCCCAATGCGGGACTTGATCCAGGGACTCCAGGATCATGACCTGAGCCGAAGGCAGTCGCTTAACCAACTGAGCCACCCAGGCGCCCTCCAGTTACGCCTAGTGTCAAATTTATAAACCAAGTGTGTAATTCAGAACTTCCCAATCTCCCTGTGCAGCTCTACAAGAGTATCTATGTCAAAGTACACATGGTCACCTTAAAAACTGCTCTGAGGATTAGATTACTTGATAAGTAAAAACTGTAATCTACTCCATATATCACAGTGTTCAGCCTTTAAAAACTGGAACATTTAAGTCATTAAGCTCCCATCTGTCAATTCTACCAAGGTCTAACAACTACAGGATTTTTAAATTCCTCATTGTTTCAAAAAAACTGACAAAGACAAGATTGCATAACAGTGCAGAAAAGAACAGCAGACAAACCGCACAGGTAACTTTTGATTCCACAACCAAATGTACTACATTTAACCTAAATACTTCCCAGATTCCTCCCCTAAAAAATGTGAGCAAACCTTACACTACATTCAGGAGATCCCAATGACAATTTAAGGAAAGACCAACAGCGCCAACGAGATGATTAATAAGAATCCAAATAATCACATTCTCAGGGACCTCCCTTCTTCACGTCTCTGGTGGTTATGACCTGAAACTATAATGAGGGGATGGGACTGTAGGGAATATAATCACCTCAGCGATGGCAACTACAAAGAGATTCCTCAAACTTTTTCATAATCAAGAAACAAAGAGATGTTCATACCATCAAATTAGTGCTCTGAGAATATCATCAATACTTTTCACATTTGCCCTATAATGAATGCATGGAATTACTCACCCTAAAGTACTTTTAACTTTTTAAAGTTACTTTTTCTTTCATCCTTTCATTCTTTTTTTTTTTTTTTAAAGATTTTATTTATTTATTTGATAGAGACACAGTGAGAGGGAACACAAGCAGGGGGAGTGGGAGGGAGAAGCAGGCTTCCCGCTGAGCAGGGAGCCCGATGCAGGGCTCGATTCCAGGACCCCAGAATCATGACCTGAGCCAAAAGCAGATGCTTAACAACTGAGCCACCCAGGCGCCCCCCTTTGACTCATTCTTATTGCCAAGTGCCTCGTCTTAAAACTTTTAATATCTCTTGCTTAATCTACTGTAAATGTGTCTGCTGACTTTTTTGCCTCCAATATTAAAGACCATCAGTACATCTATTTACTTACTACACGCTGCTATGTTAAAAGGTCTCTCTGCAACATCAGCCTCTACTACCCAGAGACGCTGCATTATGGCTGTTCCATCAATAAAGAAAAGCCTAATAGCATACATGGGAAACCCTTCCAAACAGACTTCAAGAATAAGTTCCCTTAGAGCTTCAATCAAATATACATTTCTAAAATTCTCCAAAATTCTGTTATCTTACAAAATTGTACCTCTTTACCCAAACCCTAAGTATTTAAATGCTCTGTATTCCAAGAATCAAAGGAATCGTAGACTGGTTCTGCCAATTAATCAAAATGCAAAAAGTGTTCAAGGATCCCATATCCATCTTCAGCTGAAATACAGAGCAAGTACGTATCAGGAGTGACTAAAACTGTGGTTTAGAAAAACTCTTTTACTGTAACTGAATTTTAAAAACAAGAGCATCATTATCTTCAAATAAATGGCATAACATCTTATGTTCACAGAACAAAGACTTAAAATTATTAAGATGGCAATATTCCCCAAACTGACCTACAGATTCAACACAATCCCCATCAAAATTCCAGCTGACTTCTTTCCAGAATTTTGACATGATGATCCTAAAATTCATATGAAAATGAAAGGTATAAGAATGGCCAAGAAAACCTTGAAAAAGAAAAACAGAGAGAATTCACACTTTCTGATTTCAAAACTTACTACAAAGTGACAATAATAAAGACAATGTGGTGCTGGCATAAAGACAGAAATAAGGATTAGAAAGAAATATAAAACTGAGAGTCCAGAAATAAACCCTCACATTTACACTCAGTTGGTTTTCAGCAAGGGTGCCAGGGCAATTCAATGGAGAAAAAATAGTCTTTTCAACAAATGGTGCTAGGACAACTGGATACCCACATGTGAAAAAGTGAATTTGGGACTCCTACCTCACATCATATACAAAAATTAACTCAAAAAGGATGGAAGACCTGGGGAGCCTGGGTGGCTCAGTCAGTTAAGTGTCCAACTGTTGATTTTGACTCAGATCATGATCTCAGGTTTGTGGGATCAAGCCCTATGTCAGGCTCCACACTTGGCCCAGTCTGCTTGAGATTCTCTCTCTCCCCCTGCTCATACTCACTCACTCTCTAAATAAATAAAATCTTAAAAAAAAAAAAAAAGGATGTAAGACCTAATGTAAAAGCGAAAACTATAAAACTCATGGAAGAAAATATAGCTATAAAACTGTGCCACCTTGAATTAGGCAATAGTTTCTTAGACATGATATCAAAAACAAAAGCAACAAAAAATAAATACATTGAACATCAAAATTTAAAATTTTATGATTCAGAGGCACCTGGCTGGCTCAGTCAGTGGAGCAGCGACTCTTGATCTCGGGTTTGTGAGTTTGCGCTCCACACTAGGTGTAGAGATTACTTAAAAATAAAATCCTTTAAAAAAAAAAATTGCGGGGGGCACATTGGGTGGCTCAATCTTAAGCGTCCAACTCTTGCTTTCGGCTCAGGTCATGATCTCAGGGTCTGAGATGGATCCCTGCAGCAGGCTCTGTGCTCAGCAGGGAGTCTGCTTGAGATTCTGTCCCTCTCCCTCTCCCTTTGCCTCTCCCCACTGTTTGCATGTATGCACTCTCTCTCTCCCTCTAAAATAAGTAAATAAATCTTTAAAAAAAAATTGTGCCTCAAAGGACACTATTAAGAAAATGAAGACAGGGTGTCTGGGTGGCTCAGTCGTTAAGCGTCTGCCTTCAGCTCAGGTCATGGTCCCAGGGTCCTGGGATCGAGCCCCGCATCGGGCTCCCTGCTCAGGGGGAAGCCTGCTTCTCCCTCTCCCACTCCCCCTGCTTGTATTCCCTCTCTCGCTGTCTGTCAAATAAATAAAGTCTTTAAAAAAAAGTGAAGACAACCACAACCCAGAATGAAAGAAAATATGTATAACTCACATCTGATAAGTGACTTGTCTCTAGAATTATAAAGAACTCTTACAATTCAATAATAAAAAGACAAGTAAGACGATTAAAAAATGGGCAAAGGATCCAACAGACATTTCTCAAAAGAAGAAACACAAATGGCCAGTGTAAATGCATGAAAAAATGCTCAACACATCACTAATCTTTAGGGAAATGCAAACGGAAAATGCAATGAAATACTACTTAATATCCACTAGAATGGCTATAATAAAAAAGATGAACAGTAACAAGTTTGTTAAGAATGTGGAGAAATTAGAACCTCTATACACTGCTAGCAGGACTATAAAATGGTGCAGCCTCTTTGGAAAACAGTCTGGCAATTCCTCAAAATGTTAAAAATTGAGCTACCATATGATCAGTAACCCCACTCCTAGGTACATACCCAAGAGAAATGAAAACATAAGAATATACAAACACTTGTACACAAATATTCATACCAGTATTCTTATTAGCCAAAAAATGGAAATAAATAACCTAAGTGTCCACCAACTGATAAATGGATTAATAAAATACAGTGTACATGTACAGTGGAATATTCTTTGGTAGTAAAAAAAAATTGAAATGGGGCACCTGGGTGGCGCAGTCGTTAAGCGTCTGCCTTCGGCTCAGGTCATGATCCCAGGGTCCTGGGATCGAGCCCCTCCTCGGGCTCCCTGCTCAGCGGGAAGCCTGCTTCTCCCTCTCCCACTCCCCCTGCTTGTGTTCCCTCTCTCGCTGTGTCTCTCTCTGTCAAATAAATAAAATCTTAAAAAAAATAAAATAAAGATAAAAATAAATAAATAAAAATTGAAATACCAATACATGCTATGACATGGATAAACCTTGAAACATGCCAAGGAAAAGAAACTAGTCACAAGAGACCATATACTGTATGATTCCATTTATATGAAATGTCCAAAATAAGCAAATCTTACACATATGTCAGAAAATAGATTAACGGGCAGGGAGTAAGGGGGGACAAGTAACAGAAGGTTTGTGATGGTGGAAGTGGGAGAGCGGTGAAAATGTACTGTAACGGACTGTGGCGATGGCTGCACAACTCTGTGACTAAATTAAAAATTGCAGTACACTTCAAATAGCTGAACTGCATGGGATGTAAATTATATCTCAATAAAAATATGAAAAAGACAGTCACGATTTTCATACTTCAAACAGGTATATTTTATTGTATATAAATTGTACCTTCATAAAGATGATTTACAAAGAAAAAAGAAGTCACTATTTTCTAAAACCATTCCAATAAGCAGAGTATCCATGTGATAATAAGCCCAATGTCCAGTTAGCCTGATAACAGTGACTCTCATTTTGCTCTAGTCTATGCATATAAGTACATTACCCTTCTACAAATGCATCCAGTTTAGCCAGTTCATCCGACAAACCAACCAAGACATCCAGCGTGCCAACCTAGGAGGGAAATAGACCATTTTACTACCTAGGTTTCATCCGCACCGCCCCCCCTTTTTTTTTTACAAGGTGATACAACATCTTGATTTGAAGGGCCCACAAATCTTAAGTTTTCTGTATTTTATTTCATAATGCACAAGTGTGGTTAAAAAATGTTTGTCAGACATTTCGAAGCTATTTATATGTGGAAGATAATCCTCTAATTCATGGGTACAACCACTATTTAAGATGTGCAGATTCCCTAATGGCAGGCCGCTGCCCCTACCCGTGCTACTCAGCGACAGGTGGATCATCTGAAGTCATGGTTTACAGCAGCACCTCTTAAATAGGGGTCCATGACTATCAGTGTCTCAAAGCAATTCATAACTCCCCAAATACAATCTTAAGTATTTCTTAAATGAATGCGATGTATAAGTGCCTGCTAAGTTAACCAGCAAAATAAAAGTATCATGGTTTTTTCTATTCTGTAAAATTACTGACAGCCTGCTTCCCTTTGAGGCTGCCAGGTTACAGATCTTCAATAACTGTTAAATAAATTAACCACATTAAATAACTAGGTGAGATTTGCCAAGTATGATTAAAGAGGTACAAAGGTAAAACATTTACAACATTACTGAACACTATATGAATTTAATTAACAAAAAATCGAGTTCACTGTGAAATTTAATATATATTACTAAGATTTTTCACTTCTGAAGATATTTGTGAATGTAATATATCAAATATTTTCATAAGATTTCTCATTACAATTTATAGAAAAAGCACAAAAGTTTTTAAAAACGTTATCTCACTTTGGTAGTTTACTTCTAAAATCTCAATTTCCTCATTATTTAAAATCTGAAGATCAGAGAGAACAAGGTAAGTTTTCAGTTATGCCAATGACTGGAAATGAGCTTTTTTTTTTTTTTTTTTGAAGGAACCCAAATATCTCATTTCTTCTAAAAGGTAAGCACAGACAACTGTCCTCTTCATCATGAACTCACACACTATTTTGCACCACGCAGTTTTACCTTTAAGTCAGGAATGTTAAACTTTGAAGCAATAGCAAGATTATTGTTCTTCGTAGTTGCTGCGTGCAATTTCTCCCAAGTTTGCTGACATGTTTTCTCCCCCGGAGCAGATATAAGCCAGAACTCAGTCATATTTGTTACCAAGTATTTTTTCCAAAATCAAGAGTGACTCTGAAAGGTAAAACAAAACAAACAAAAAATACCTTTAATACCATTTGTTCCTAAAGTATTTCAGAGTCACAGGATAAGATAATTATTAACCTGTTTCAAAACTAATCCAACACTAGCAGATGATCTCAAGCAAAGTCAAATTTACTTACCTGGAAGTAAATCCACATAAATGGTAAAAGGGGATTTATTTATGATGCTAGAAAAAAAAATGAGGGGCACCTGGGTGGCTCAGTTGGTTAAGCGACTGCCTTCGGCTCAGGTCATGATCCTGGAGTCCCTGGATCAAGTCCCGCATCCGGCTCCCTGCTCAGCAGGTAGTCTGCCTCTCCCTCTGACCCGCCCCCCTCTCATGCTCTCTATCTCATTCTCTCTCAAATAAATAAATAAAATCTTTTAAAAAAAAAAATGACCTAACACAGGAAGTATCTAATTTTTTTTAAATTACAAAACATCTAAAATGGAATTACTCAAAGAAGTGAGACTACTCAAAATACTAGCTACCAAAGGTTTCATTTCACAAAAGAAGTAGAAGAGTCACAAATTTATAGGTTTATCTTAAACTTTTAAAACATAAAACCAAAATAGGAAATTTAAAAACATGCATAACTTTTACCTTTGAGAAGGAACTGAACGAATGCATTTGAACAGTAGCCACTAAATAAATTTGTCATATCTGGCTTAGCAACTCCAACAAAGTTAGCCAAATTGGTCATTAACTTTAATCCATATTCAACCTAAAGGAATCTCCTCAAATCCCTGGCATATACTTAGTTGCCATCAAACATTTATAAATTTGCAAAAGAAATCTCGCCAATTGGCCTTTTATGTAAAAATATGATGGGGGGGGTAGTGATAAAATCCCACTGGATCTGAGTGAGAGGCTGTGTGTGGATCCCCTTTCCAAAGAGTTCCATTAAGACACAACCAACCCTCAGACGCCTGGGTGGCTCAGTTGGTTAAGCATTTGCCTTCGGCTCAGGTCATGATCTCAGGGTCCTCCTACTCAGCAGAGAGCCTGCTTCTCCCTCTCCCTTTGCCTGCCACTCTCCTCTCTTCCTCTCTCTCTCTCTGTGTCAAATAAATAAATAAATAAAATCTTAAAAAAAAAAAAAAGACACAACTAACCCTCTTCTACAACCTTTTTCCTCCCTCCCTCTCACATGGAAAAACAAAAGTCTAGAGCCAAATGTATTCAGAATCTAAGTAGGTAAAGTATACAAACTCAAAAATGAAAATATTACCATACCATTATTTCCACTTTAATATGTCTTCATTAGAACCACCATAAACTTTCCTACTACCTGTGACTGTTGACGCTCCCCTGAATAGAAAATAACTACCTTACAAAGTTGTCCTGATAACAAAATCATATAATGAATGTGAAAAGACTTTGTAAATTTAAATTTCCTTTAAGATGTAAAGTATTATAGCTAATCATAATGGACTTTTATTAATTTCATGATTTCATTCAGCCTATTTTTAGAATTATAATTGAAGTAATCCCATGCAATTATTATACAACTGAAAGTGCAGTGAACACAGACGCCATTCTATATATTTTTTTCCAATTTCTGCTTGTAGAGCATCTACTATATACCAGGTACTGTTGTAAATGTTTTCTACATTATCGCGATCTTCCCAATACCTCTATGAGATACACATCATCCTCCCCATTTACAGATAAGAAATTCAGACAGGTTAAACTGGTAAGAATATAGATGGTGGTATTAAAAGACTATCTCAAAAATTCTACTCTAAAATGATTTTTCCAGGGCGCCTGGGTGGCTCAGTTGGTTAAGAGACTGCCTTTGGTTCAGGTCATGATCCTAGAGCCCTGGGATCAAGTCCCGCACTGGGCTCCCTGCTCAGCCGGGAGTCTGCTTCTCCCTCTGACTCTCCCCTTTCTCGTGCTCTCTCTCTAATAAATAAACTAAAAAAAATAAAATAAAATGATTTTTCCAGCATTAATGATAAAGATGCATTTAAGAGCTACACTCTCTCAAATGATCAACAAACTAAGCACAGGCTTGTTAGTGATGGCAAGCCCAGACAAAGCATTCAGTCTGGCCAGAAAATAGTACAGCTTAACTGGCCATCCATGGAAGGAAGCCACTCAGAGCACCAAGTTCTAAAGAAGCCATCCAGAGATGAGCTTTGACTTGAAAACAAAACCATCACTAGACTACCTGAGAAACTTCAAATGTTAAATTTTAAAGCTATTATATAAATATCATTCTACCCATATTCTTTTCCAACTTAATTTTTTCATTCAACCTGTTTTTGGAATTATTCATGGTGATCCATATATGTAGTTCACTCATTTTAATTGCTATAAGGTATTTTATGAATAACCTAAAATTTATTATCCATTTTCCTCTGGAAGGATAGTTACATTTTACTTTTTTGCTATTATAAACAATTTTGCAGTGAACGCTTGTGCATGTCTGTTTTTGTGAAAGAATTTTTGCAGGATAGAAGTAAAACCGCTGAATTGAGTATGATCACGTGGTAGGCTGTCTTCAAATATGGAGGCGACAAGTGTTTCCATGCTCCAATGCAATGTGACTGTCACTCCTCCCATCAAAAGGTGGATTCTATTTCCCCTCATCTTGAATCTGGGCTGGTCTTGTTACTTGCTCTGACCAACAAAACTCAAGGAAGCCACACTATATGAGTTCAGGGCCCAGGCTTCAAGAGGCCTTGCAACTTCCACTTCTGTTTCTTATGGTCCTCAAACCACCATGGAAGGAAGCATGTAGTCTAGTCTAGTGGAAAATAACAGGCCACATGGCAGAGAAAAAGCAACACTAGGGCTGAGCAACACTAGGGCTGATAACCAACAGAAACTACGGAATAGTTGAGTTTCTTGAAACTTGCAGCATAGTGAATGTTCCAGCTGAATACAGCCCCATCAATGAGCCCAAGTGAAACAAGCAGAAGAAGCACTGAGACAACCCACAGAATCAGGGGAAATAAGAAATCACTGTTTTAAGCCCCTAAAGTTTGGGGTGGTTTGTTATATATCATGAGATAACTGACAAAAACCATCATCAACTTTGCTGGGTACTGACAAACTGTTCTCCAAAGCAGTTACCAACTGAAGTTCCCACACAATGGTATAGGTTGTTCATAAATATGTATTTACAGAAAATACAGAAAGGAGCAAGGTGCTTCAGCTATGTATTTAAGATTTATTTAAAAAAATATCTGGGGCAAATATGGCAAAATGTTAATACCTGTTAAATCTGGGTAGTGGATACATGGATATCTGTCAATCTGAAATATTTGAGCTTTTCTGTATACTTGAAATATTTCAAAATTATTTTAACTGTTACAAGAATATAATTACTTTATGATAAAATAAAACAGAATACTTAGCAAATTTATAAAAATTATAATTTTAATGAACTTTCAAATGGAATATCCGGAGAATAAAGTAGCCTTGTTACTACGCTAATCCTCCGAACACAACTTTTCTGTTTTAATACTAGTAAAGATGCTTTCAAATCTGTTTATGTTTATGACCAAGTATAATAATATATTGAACAGGAAACCTTTCTGATGTTTTGGAATTTTTAAAAAATATTTTAGGGTCGACATATTCAGCAACTCTAATCACATAAGGTTGTAAAGGTAAGAGCTTGAACTACACCTATATTAACTACAGGATCCATCTCAGTAAGTTGCTTTTTAAATTAAACTGCTGATGAAATGTGGTTCTATCTCCTGCTTTCCTGTCATTGCCTAATCCTATTCTCTACTGTACCTGGGTCACCTCACCTAAGCTGCTCCAACCCTGCTATCTTTTCACTTGCCTTTGGCCACTTCAGCTTTGGCTTTTCCCTATCTCTGGTCTCCTCCATCTAATATTCTTACACTTATCAAATCTAGCTTTTTTTTTTTTTTAACCCAAACACCAATTACAGGACTACCTTGAACTTTAAAATTCTTGATTGATTAGAGAATCCAATAATATCTTTCAACCTCTTTTTTAATAATCCAGATCTTCTACATGATGGTAGTTTTTGGAAATCTGAGGTTTTATTATTATTATTTATACAAATGGTTCCGTTAAAGTATATCTGATGACATTTTATACCTCCTCTCCCCTCAAAAGAGCAGGTGATTAAATCAATTAAGTTCTTCCTGAGATTTTAAAATTATTCAAAATGTACCTTCTTCAAAGACTGTAATAATATGAGCTACTACAGTAGATGTCACTATCATACCATTTAGAGTTCTAGAAAATCTTTTTCATCCAACAGGTTTCCAAAGTATTTCAAGAAATAAGAAAAAGGACCCCATTTCTTATCTATAAATACCTGCCCTACCCTATTTCACTGAGCTTTTATTAGGATTAAATGAAATAATGTCATAATAATTCTAAGCAAAAGTAGAGTCTAGTAATGTCTAGGAAAGGGGTGCCAGGCTGGCTCAATCAGTGGAACATGTGACTCTTTATCACAGGGTCCTGAGTTTGAGCCCCACGTTGGGTGCAGAGATTACTAAAAAAAATAAATAAACTTAAAAAAATGTCTAGGAGGGGCGCCTGGGTGGCTCAGTTGGTTAAGCGACTGCCTTCGGCTCAGGTCATGATCCCGGAGTCCCGGGATCGAGTCCCGCATCGGGCTCCCTGCTCAGCAGGGAGTCTGCTTCTCCCTCTGACCTTCCTCCCTCTCATGCTCTCTGTCTCTCATTCTCTCTCTCAAATAAATAAATAAAATCTTTAAAAAAAAAAATGTCTAGGAAACTTATAGAAAGTACTCTAATTCCATCTTTCAACTGGAGACTTCTCTAGGGCCTGTTTGGTGATGGGGAGGAAGAGGTGTCCTCTCTATGTTTGGTACTGTGTTAGACACGTCTCCTATGCTATCTCATTTAATTCTCAAGACAGCCCTATGAATTAAGCAGTAATACTTGAAGAGGTTACTAATTTACCAAGGTTACATAAGTGGCAAATGGGGTTCAAATCTCACTGGGTTTGACTGTAGAGCTATGTT